TCATAGCTTTCAGAGCTTTTAACTTTAGAGGTTCTGAGTGAACCACCAACTTCTCCAAGTCCCACCCAATTGTAAGCTCACCTAATTTATGAGAGGAGGCCTTGATTTAGTCCCAGTTACTAGCTTCTTGATACCATTGAGTTGATAATGCCAAAACTACACATGAAAAATATAAGATTAAGAAACTAAGCATAACCCTTAACAATAAAACATTAATATTAATAACTAAACAGTAAACTTATAACAACTAATTAGTAGCCTTCACAACCAACCTGAAACCTTAACAACCAATCTGAAATCTTAACAAGCAATCTGAAACCTTAACAACTAATCTGTAAACTTGACAACTAATCAATGAACATCACAGCTTATATGTAATCTTAACAACTAATCAGTAACCTTAACAACTAATCAGTAAACTTAATAACTAATTTGTAACCATCACAACTAAACAACAAACTTTAGTTTCTTTTTGCATATAGTATAAATAGAGGCCTAGGGCCATTGTATTCTACACATTCAATTCCTGAGATTTCAATAAAGTTCTTTTTGCTTGCTATTTTGGACTTCAATTGTTCTTCTTTTTTAGTTTCTTCAATTTAGTAAGTTGTTTAATTTTTTTATTTTATTGTTCTTATTCTTATTTTTCTTGCTCTTGTTCTCTTTTCTTTACTTCTACTTTTATCTTCTTTTCTCTTTAATTAATCATGAGTAGCTAATTACCATTAGGAAGCTTAGTATAACGAAGCTAGGTAACTAGTCTAAATTAATAAAAAGATCTCTTAGGTTAAGTAAAGAAGTTGATTAGTTTAGATTAATAAAAGCTAGGGTTAATTATAATTAGATAGGTTATAGACTTTAATTAGGCATAACTTATACTTAGGAGATTAAACCGCAGTAATAAAAGTCTAGATTAATTAATTAGAAACACTCGAATTAACTAATTGATAGGTTATAGTTTCTAATGAGACATAGCTTATGCTTTTAGGGTTCTAGTAAATAAAGAGATTAAATAAAGGATCTAGTTTAGAAATCTAGTGGAGTTAGCCTAAGTAACATTGTTTAAGTCTATTAATAAAAAAATCAACATCCTTCAAACGCAAAAACCTTTTGCAAACTCTAGGATCTTAAGATAGAATTTTCTTAACAAATTTTCCCAGAGAACAGACCTATAAAGGCTACAATGAAAGCTATGTACTTGTAGAATATTGTAAAATAACACATCAATGGGTCACACCATGCTTTACATGTGTTGGCAACTGGTCGAATGAGTCACCCTTGCAACAATGATAAGGCTGCTGAAGTACGGGCGCGGTTCAATGAGCTTTGAAGGCTCTGGCTTAAGAGGTCATAATGACTGACATTACATTAATGTTGATGGCGACTGGGCGCCGAAGTGTGGGTGCTGACTGGTCATGCATGAATGTTGATGGCGACTAGGCGGCGAAGTGTGGGTGCTGATTGGTCATGCATTAAATGCGATGTGACTTTTGACAAATTTGATAGGTCATTCTACTGTTCAAGATGCTCAGTGTCGGGTCCGAGTGGGGAATGCCATTCGTCTAGGATTTGGGTCGCGAGATAGGCCGACTAACTACGCATTAGGTCGTTCTCTCAGATGTACATGAGTCGACCGACTAGTTATTACTCGTGGCCGCTTCTTGAGGCTTCATTAGGGTTGGTAATTTCCATGGTATAACATTTCCCCGCATGAGTATCAAGATTGGTAATTTCCATGATATAATAGTTGCCCCGCAAGAGTATCAAGATTTCACCGCAAGCATCCTCTTCTTTTGAATTTTTGGCTCATAATTAGTAGTCTATTGTATTTCGCCAATTAAAAAAAAGGGAGAACAAGAAAAATACTTTCCCATGATATCCCAAATATTGTGAATCTAAGTTGCTATGTAGAGGTGCTTGGCTTATAAAATTATCTCACTCTAAGCGGAGAAACTACTCAATATTAATTCCTAGCTCACCTACAATAAGTGAATGGAAAAGAAAATTCTCTCTACTACACGGCTAGTAGGATGTCAGCCTCTCAAATGTACGAGAAAACTTACAAATATCAATTCTGCTATTGTATTCGACAACGCCCACTAACTGCTTGATTTAATGCCGTACAGAGACAGTAAACAACAATGAGCTCAATCTGGCCTCCTGACGATACACCATTAGCGTCGGGTCTTTTCGAGTAATGCACTTCCTAAGAGGATCGAAGAAGATCAAACTCCTCTGTGTGAAAGTTTGCTATTGTTAGGCTTTCATTATTTAAATTGACGTTGTAATATAAGAAATTTATTACTTCTACTTTTTGCATTTCTATTATATTAAATATTGTTGGAAACATATACAATAGTTTGAAATTTTTATTATGTTATTATTAGTATGTTTGTAGTACAATTCAGCGCACTGTCTCTAATGAACAAGTGTTCTTCATTTATATTACCAATTACATTCACTACAACCACTATTTTCTATTTATACCGTTCTAGTATCTTGCAAAATAAAATACACACAATTATATGTTATTTGATAAACACACATATGGATAGGACAAACGCTCCAATTCATTTCTTATGCTTTAATTTATGAACTGCTTTTGGCAAATTTCATGTAGTACACTTTACTATGTTTATGATGATCTTTAGTCTTTAGTGTGGTTTCCATTTGTGAGAATATTCTTGAATAGCGTTAGAGATGAAGAGTTTAAATTCACTGATATAGAATATTGTTAGCCTGTCATTTTTTATACATACATATGTATACTGCAGGGATCACCACAGAATGACAAATGATGGGAAAAATTAGTAATAATTTAGTCCATGCAAACAGGCCGAAGTGATTCTTTTTGTAATTTTGTATTAATCTTGTAAGCATGTCTTTCTTTCGATTCTTTAAAAATGACTACGCAATGTTCGATCTTGAGCATTTTTCTGGTGTATCCAGTGGATATATTAAATATTGTTGGAAACATATACAATAGTTTGAAATTTTTATTATGTTATTATTAGTATGTTTGTAGTACAATTCAGCGCACTGTCTCTAATGAACAAGTGTTCTTCATTTATATTACCAATTACATTCACTACAACCACTATTTTCTATTTATACCGTTCTAGTATCTTGCAAAATAAAATACACACAATTATATGTTATTTGATAAACACACATATGGATAGGACAAACGCTCCAATTCATTTCTTATGCTTTAATTTATGAACTGCTTTTGGCAAATTTCATGTAGTACACTTTACTATGTTTATGATGATCTTTAGTCTTTAGTGTGGTTTCCATTTGTGAGAATATTCTTGAATAGCGTTAGAGATGAAGAGTTTAAATTCACTGATATAGAATATTGTTAGCCTGTCATATTTATATATACATGTATACTGCAGGGATCACCACGGAATGACAAAGGATGGGAAAAATTAGTAATAATTTAGTCCATGCAAACAGGCCGAAGTGATTCTTTTTGTAATTTTGTATTAATCTTGTAAGCATGTCTTTCTTTCGATTCTTTAAAAATGACTACGCAATGTTCGATCTTGAGCATTTTTCTGGTGTATCCAGTGGATTCTAACTCTAGGTCATAATTTTTGTCAGTCTATGTTATGTAAGGAGAGGTCTAACGTTGTATAACCTCTTCTTTTAGATGATTGAATGCAGACTTTTTATCGAGTTGAGATAACTGCTCGCATTAGCTATCTCTAGCTTATTCAAACTTTGGTTTGGTTGTCACGCTTGAAGTTGAATCTTGGTATTGTTTTCTCAATCACTGAACTATCGTTCTCTCAATGACTTTCAGTGTCTTATCTGCATTGGAGAAGTAGGAGAAGAATCTAGGTGAGGAGACGCTAGGGGGAAATGGAGATGCTGGGAATGGAGACGCTGAGGGGAGGAGGGTCATTAAAGAAATCTAGAAATTATTCGTGTATGGTTGAATTGACGATTAGAGTTATCAGATAATGGTTTCATTTCTCATGATTTTAATGATAATTAGTAGTATATAATTATGTGCTATCTCCACGTCATATGCGGGAAATTTTTGTGTTATATCTCCATGATTTTAATGGTAACAAGTAGTATGTTATGTGTTATCTCCATTTCACAGTTGGGAAAACTTTCGTTGGGATTTATGCGGACAGCATCAAACTCAAACATACATAAGAGATGGTAGATTTTGCTGTTGAACACAATATTTATAACTGTTGATGCGGAGGTAATTGGCAAAGCTATAGAGAGACTTGACGAAGGACTATTACTTATCTGTTTGTGATTAACGTGGCAAACACAATTTCGGGATGAATTTGAGCGTTATATTGCGAGAAATGAGTTTGTTCGATGTTTAAACTAGGATTATTTTGATTTAATTTAGAAGACTGTTGGTTTTTGTTGAATAATGCACAAATATCGGAGGATGTAGATATTTTGCCCTTGACATGTTTATTTGAGTGTTCTATATTACTTAAATCAATATATCTGTTTATATATTTGCATACAAATTTTATAGGTCGTGCTTTGCACGAGCAAAATGACTATTTGATTAATAAAACAACACTAGCTCGTGCTCACTTTGTATAGTCCTCCAGATCAACGAAGTATAAGTATTAAGCTCATCCTTGGTAATTTTAACCCAATTGTAATACTAATATATTTAATATTTCCTTCAAATCAACTGCATCTTTAAAACATTTCCCAAGTTTTATGTTCATATATAGGAGTAACATAAACACATCTAATATCGTGCTAAAATTGCATAACCTTCCAATTAATAAGTATTCTCTTATTCTAAAAAAAACATATCAGATCTCACTATGTATCAATATGGAAAATAATTAACATATTAGTAGTAGAAAAATTAAGTTCATATCCATATAAATGGATATTTAAAAAAAGACGTAATTATACCAAAAAAAAAATCTAAGGAGACAGATGGAAAATTTGATCTTAAATAACATTATTCCAAAACAAAACAAAGCAAAACGTACGCGAGAAAATGTAACACGCCTAAACAAATAACAATTCTCAGGGAAAATAATAATGCTTGACAAAGAAAATCCTCTCTACTACGCGGCTAGTAGGACGCCAGCCTCTCAAATGTACGAAAAAACCATGCTCCGTGCCTCTTCACATGGCTCTGTGTCCCGTCTTTGTAAGCAAAATTCAATTCTGCTATTGTGTTCGACAACGCCCACCAACTGCTTGATTTAATGCCGTACAGAGGCAGTAACGACGATGAGCTCAATCTGGCCTCCTGACGACAAAACATTAGCGTCGGGTCTTTTCGAATGATGCACTTGCTAACAAGTTCGGCCCGTTGAGCCGCATCCCTAACGCTCTCCACGCCCGAATTTAATGAATACGCATGCAAACCATCCCTCGACATGTTTTGTTTATATAAAAGCAAATCTCCGTTTATTTCCTTTTAGTTATTATGAAAGAAAGGTACGATGCAGGCTTTATTTGTTGGTTTTATTTGCGTTTGCCTTCTTCTTGCGTCGGCAAGAGCGCGGACGGCGAAGAGACTGAACGGGATCCGCCCTGCACTATATCCTGGGCTCTTTGCTTTTGGGGATTCTATCTTGGACACCGGTAACAACAATTTACTGACAACAGTTATGAAGAGCAATTTCCCGCCTTATGGCAAGGATTTCGCCGGCCATGAGCCTACCGGAAGGTTCACCAACGGACAAGTCCCTTCAGACCTTATAGGTAAAATTTTCGTGAGCTTTAACCTATTTCTTCCCTCTTCTTTAAGCGCTACTGGAGTATCTTCTACTGCTCTAGAATCCTAAAGTTATGATGAGGTTTGAGGGCTGTAATTTTATATTATGGCACATATTTTAAAGTTAAACTTCTTTTTCATGGATGACCGAGATCCGATTTAGGTACTCTTTTGGTTGGATTTGAATTTGGATTGTTTTGGTAACGTTCTAGTCCACTTCGGTACGCTAAATCTCTGAATTTGTGCTGAAGGTTGGCGGTTATAATTTTATATTGTAACATTAGTGCATTGAACTTGTCCATATTTATATGGCTAATTTTTATTTTATATATCCTACTGCATTAATATTACGTATAGTTATTGTAGTGTATCTAGCTAAGCACGTAGAGACTAATTACGTACATGTCATGCAAATCATTGCCATGAAGAATAGCGAAGGGAAATAGATTATGCAAGTGGCAAAAACATAATATGCATTAGGCATGATTTCTACTACACTTTCACTCCAATGGAAAAAAGGTTCCAGATTTCTTGTCGGTAGCTGTTCTATATAAAGCAGCGATGCACAATTTCTCGATGCAGTTTTTTTTCACTTCACTCGTGCTCTCAGAAAAACTGCATACATATGATGGATTTTTTTATGTATGTTGGGATTTCAGCTTCAAAATTAGGCATAAAGGACTTATTGCCGGCTTATCTCAGCCCAAAATTAAGCAGTGAAGAGCTTCTCACAGGTGTCTGCTTTGCTTCTGTTTCATCAGGGTATGACCGTCTCACATCTGAAGTATGGGTAAGTACATCAATTAGAGAAGTAAGAACAATTTTTTTTTTCTCGGTCATCCTTAATTTCTTGCTATTGCAGTCGGTGATGACCATTCAAGACCAATTAGATCTGTTCAAGGACTATAAAAAGAAGCTGCAGGCAATTACAGACACAGAAAGGGCTGCAAAGATCATAGGGGAAAGTATATACATAGTTTGTTCAGGGAGCAATGATTTTGCAAACACCTATTTTAGCTCTCCCCTGAGAAGGGCAGAATATGATGTGTCTGCATATACCAGTTTCCTAGTTAATTCAGCTTCGAGTTTCCTAGAGGTATGTTTATCTTTTGGTATGTATTATATTCTCTGTTGGATTTCTCTAATTTGCTGATCGGTTTCTCTTTCACTGCAAGAATAAACTTTACTGCAAAAGTTATAATATTTAAGATAAATCCTTTTGAAAATAATCTAGCCTGAAGCAATAATTATATATTTAGGATAAGTCAAGCATAAGAAACAAATTAGCAAGAAAATCTATTCCAAATGCTACTATTACCACCTTATTAACGCTTTAACAACTTAGTGAAGCTAATATGTAACAAAACTTTGTTCATTCAAATGTTTGCTAGATAACATTATACCGACGACCTTTCCCACAATTGTCTATTTCTAATTCATACAGGAACTGTACAACTTGGGTACACGCGAAATTGCTGTAGTTGGACTTCCTCCTTTAGGATGTCTTCCATCACAGAGAACTCTTGCTGGAGGGATACCAAGAGATTGTGTATCTTCATATAACCAAGCTTCAGAAAATTATAATGTCAAACTTTCTAGGGAAGTAGAAATACTTCAGAAAAAGTTTGTCGGTGCAACTATCATTTATATAGATATCTATCAGAAGTTGCTTCATCTTATTCAGGACCCATCAAAATATGGTAAGTTCATAATACTTTCTTAATGTACATGTTTTCAATGTGTGTTTTCTTTTCCTGTCACAACAGCAGCTCAAGCTGCCCTTATTCAAAATGTATTGAATACTAGATTCCTAGAAGATAAAAGATACGAAGCTGTGTCCAAAAACTGAGGGTAGCAAGTCTCAGATGTAGATAGAAAACAATTCCTAATCTGGCAACCAATGTGGATGAGGAGCGGATCTGATCGTCGCTCACCGCAGACAAAGATGATTAAGAGGAATTATTGCTAGCAACTGATTCAAGGATTCAGGACGCTCATTTCAACGATCATCATATGGTTTAAAATAAAAACAAGTGTATCAAAAGGCTAAACACAGTCATAATTTACAGATCATTAATCTCTTAAATATTGAATTTTTGTAGGTTTTGAAGAGTCGAGCAAAGGTTGTTGTGGGACTGGAGAGCTGGAGGCTGGGGTATTATGTAATGAAAAATCAACTTTATGCTCTGATGATTCTAAGTACGTATTTTGGGATAGTTTTCACCCAACAGAGAAGGCATATGAGATTCTTGTGGATGAACTTGTTCATGAAATCTTGGGGCACCCATAATGAAGATGACATTTTTTATGTTCTGTTACTCATTGATGCTTTATTCAATGCAAAATAATTTCTGTTCTCTCCTTTTAAACTTCTCATCTTAAAGGAAATATTTTACTTATTTTAATCTGTTAGTGTTATGGGTTTATGCAGTGACATATCCGGCTTTTCTAAAAAGTGGTGTCGCTGTATAATTACTAATTATAAAATATACAATTGTCCATGTCAAGTTTTCGTGCTTTGAAAAAAAGTACATACTCATATCATTAGTAACATTATCAAATACTAACCTAAGATTTTAGTGGAGAAAGTAGTCTAAAAAGCCCTAAGTTTTACTCTGCTTTTCTAATAATCCCCCCAAAAAATTTTTAACAAAGATATCTCTAAGTATTACCTCTCTCTTCTAAGAAACCCTCAACTTTCTTCTTTTACAAGAGAACCCCTAACCTTTAGTTTTTTTTCTAATAAACCCCCAATTCTTCTTGTTAATTTAGGAGTTTTGATGTAAAAAAAAGAAGTTGGAGGCTTCTTATAAGAGAAGTTGTAAGACTTAGGGATTTTTTCATTAAAAAAAGAAAGTTGAGAGTTTCTTAGAAGAAAGGTAAAACATAGAAGCTTTGTTGTTAAAAGAAGAAGCTAGGAACATAGTAAGAAATGAAGGATAAAGCGGGTCACCTAATATTTTTAGTGGTGAGTTTTCTAGCCAGGGTTATTTTTAAAAGTGCATGTTTATACAGTAAGTGGGTATTGGGAGCAAAGTGGGGTCACTTGGCCCCACTTTGTTATATGCAGATTAGACTATCAACAATGGTTTTGTTTTTCAACACCCTACTTTTTACTTTTTAACACTCCACATCATCTTCTCTCTCTTCCACCTAATAATTCAACACCCACTCAACTTTTACACTCTACAATGGTTTTGTTTAATAAAATTCAACACCCTTCCCCACCACTTTTATTTCATATTCTTATTTTCTCAAAAATCCCACCACCCAACAGCATGAAGACATGTGTCCAATCTACTCTCTCTCTCATGTGTGTGGTCCTCTCCCACTCCTCATTCAACATGTTGAATTAATTCAACACAAATTAATCCAAATGGGATTCAACACCCTCTTCAACAACTCCATTAAACCAATTCAACAGTTGAATTCTATTTTCAACACCTCCATTGTAAGTAGTCTTAGCCAATGGGTTTACGTGAAAAGTCAATTAGTCATTCATTAGTCAACATGCCAGTATGTTAACAAATGAAGATAAATATTTCTCAAGTTCTAACTTATAAGGTAACAACGTAGAATAGTACATTAACTTTATTTGGTTACGAAACGATCCCTGGTTTACATATACCTACTTAAGATTTCGATATCTTCGTGCATTCTTTTATACTTTTAGAACCTTGTTTCGGTAGTTTGGTTCATTTATTATTATAGTGATTTAGGGGCTGTTTGATGGGGGGAAAAAATCAAGGAAAATAACTATAAGAAACTTTTCTACTATGATTGTTTATTTTCCTTTGTTTGGTTCACAGACCAAAACCAAGAACATAGAGATGATGCAACTCATTCATATAGGGGTAATGTGAACCGAAGTTAAGAAACTTATTTCATGTGTTTTCTTGAGGAAACGAATAACACTCATAACCAACCAAACAGGACGTTAAGAAGGGAAATAAAAAAAAATTTTGAACAAAAAATCTAATGCGCTAAAAAAAACCTCTAGCCTAACAAAATCTGATAATATTCATAAATAATAACATCTACTTTAGATAAGTTTAACCTCTCTTCAACCACGAGGAGGTAAAGGCGGCGGCACTGGCGGCGATGCAGCCAAACGCCCAATCTGACGGTGCACCGGAGCAAACGTGCTAATATACGACACGTAATCCTCCTTCCTCGCGGCTGGTACACCATGACACGTGTACTTCACCCTCTGACCCACCAAATCAAACACCATAACCCGCC